TTTACAATTAGAAGAATGTGAGGAGATAAATGTTACAATAATTATATTAAAAAAATATTATTAGATGGATTATATAATAAAGATATAATTAAAAATAGGCAAAATTGAACTACGTCGAAAAAATTAAAATGAATTGAAGCATGGAGGAGAATGTAAGGGTGAAATAAAGAAATTTTCCTCGAAATTATGAATTTTATTTCTTAATTTTTCTAATTTTGGTTGACATTCTGAATGATCTAAAGCCACATAACACTGAGTTACTCAACACATAATAGAAGCGCAAAATGAAAAAAAAAAAAATGTAACACGTACTGGATGTCGTTCAAGCTTTTCATATAGTCTGGATCTAGAGACTTAACTTTTAATCCAGAAACGTACCTATATCAGTACTCCTTTACTATTCATTAGATATATATATATATATATATATATATATATATATATATATATATATATATATATATATATATATATATATATACAAGAAATACCTAGCATCTCCTTGAAATCAATACTCTGAAAAAAATTTACAGGAATTAACTATATAAACATACCTAATTAAAGCCATGTGGAAAATCACATATCGGATTTCTGATTAACCAAATAAGGTTCTCTCAGGAAAAATGGATTCTTTTCAATCGAAAATGTTAACTGTGATTATAGAAGATATAATTGACTATGTCAGATCCACTATATGTTAATAAATAAATTCCACATATCGATTTAAATAATCCAACTATCTCCAGCAGTTTGTTACTCATCATATATGTTTCCATAATAAACTTCACGAATAACAAAGAGCTGATAATCGACATAATCCGCAATACAGAACCCTTTTTATCAAATTAATAAAATCTGTCTATAACTTTTTGAATGGCTTTATGTTATCCGGCCTAAAAAAATTTTATTATGAAAATTCACGTAAATGGGGCGTTTTCAATTTGGAGCTAAACTTTGTATATTGTTTGTTTCGATTTCGAGGCGCAAAACATCCAAGTCATCAGAGCCCGATAAACTAAATAACACTACTTTTATACTGTTCAGGTCGGTTGGTGCAAAAATTAAAAAATAAATAAATAAAAGAATTAATAAAATAAAAAAGATAGAATAGAAATAAAAAAGCATTAAAAAAAAGAAGGAATTAGTAGAATAATATAAATAAATAATGATTTATTAAACTCTTATAGATAATAAGATAGAATAGATAAATAAATAAACTAAAAAAATAGTAATAAAATCAATAAATTAATTAGAATTAGTAAATCAATGAACTTTTAAAATTCAACCGGGACTGCTGTACAAACTCCGAAAATTGCTACCATCTACATACTTCCTCATTATCCGTTTCTACCTTACTGATAGATACTTTAAAGTGAATCACAACAATATCTATACATCTCGCTTTTCCCAGTCTGCAGGCGTTCCTCAAGGTAGTATCCTAGTCCTAGGTCCTTTACACTGTCTATATAGCTGACATCCCAACACTGTCATCATCACACTGATGACAGTGATGCCACTGATGATACATGTATTCTATTAGTTCATAACGACCCATCTATTCCCAAACCCTTCAATCTCACATCATAAACCTTGAAGAATGGTGTCAGAACTGGAGAATTAAAATAAATTCCAATAAATCCCATCAAATTACCTTCATCCTTTGTCGTAAACCATTGACTTCATATCCTTCAGTATCCTTTAACAACACCTCACTTATTCCTGTTGAACAAATCCGTTACCTAGGATTCCACCTGGACAAACGTCTAACTTGGAATCCTCATACCTGGCTGAAACGACAAGAAACAGCTCGACGTTTGCGACTATTTCAACAATTACTATACAAACGCTCTAACCTTCCAATTAATTACAAAAGACTCATTTACATGACTATAATAATGCCTATTTAGACTTACGGAGTTGAGCAATGGGGCTCCACCAAACCTTCAAATTCCTCTCGTATCCAATCCTTACAATCCAAAATCCTTCGTAATGAATTCGTAATGAATAAAATCATCCACAATGACCTTAATGTTCCTTATGTATCAGATTTGGCCCGATCCAGATATCTGTCCTTCCATAATTAACTTCATAACCATCCCAACCCTCTTGTTTCTAACCTTGCTTCCTTTTCAATTCCTGATAACCCTCCAAGGCGCCTGAAAAGAAGATGGCCACGTGATCTCCTAATATAGACATATTATTAGAGTGCTGCCAATGGGTAGTTTCTCAACATGTGTTTCATGTCATTATATCCATGTGCGAATTTACTAGATGTATTTTTTTCATATAGTTGTGACAAAAAAAAATTTTTAAATTAAAAAAATAAAGCTGCAAAGGATCATTAGTTATAAACTTGTTATATATGTTTTATAATTTTTTCATTGCTTAGGAACTTAATAACTTTTGTAAGGATTTCTTCTTGATTTTCCAGGGATGCCGATATATTCTGGGGTATTCCGAGATCTTTTAACTTTGCGGTGTAACAACGGCATGCGTTTGGAGGTGCTCCACGGTTGCAATTCTTTCTTTATTGTGCTAGGTAAAATTAGTATTAGAGGTCTTGCAAGTTCAGATGGTGTCAAAAAAGCTTTACCGCGGCCTGAAAGGCAAGAGCTTCTTTTGCTGATATATCAGCCATTTCCTTTCCTTTAATGCCTATATGGCCAGGCATATTTGTATATTTAATGATATACATCCATTTGCTTTCTACTTGTATTGCAAGATAATTTGATCAGCAAATCGAGAAAAATGGTGCCCTACAAAAATATTGGATCGTTTGGCACTTCCTCCACTTCCAATATGTCAAAATGACGACGTTATGTAGGTCAATATGTATTTTTTTTTTGACAAATAAATAATATTTTAATGTAAATTTAAAAATCAGGCTAGTCGTCCGTTCGGTTAATAACGTAACAATTTAAAGTGCTATTCTTTGTATAAAAAGCAAATGATGAAGGTAACTTTGAATATTTACTTTCGGCTTGCGGCTGACTTCTCAATTCAAAATATTATAATATAAGTTCATTTAATTCTTAAATTGTAAAACATGTTTAATACGTATTATATTTTGAATTGAGAAGTCAGCCGCAAGTCGAAAGTAAATATTTAGATCTTCCTTCATTGTTAGCTTTTTTATACACAGATTAGCATTTTAAATTTTTACGTTATTTTTTTAATTCCTGTAAATTTTTCTCAGAGTATTGATTTCAAGGAGGTGGTAGGTATTTCTTGGTATATAGGTATATACATATATATTTTTTTTTCACTTTGTGCTTCTATTTTGTGTTCAGTAACAGGAGGAAATTTTCTTATTTATTATCTATTTATAGTTACATTCCGCATCTACCCGATGGGGTCATTAGCGGCTTTAGATGTAATCAAATTAGGTGTACAAATTTAATGTCTTTTATAAATTCAAACACTTTTTGTATCTTATCTTCGTCATCTGAAAGTGCTTCAGATATGTTGGAAGGTATATTATGTTTTGTTCTGGTGTCAGAGTATAGTCTGCAAGTTGTTACGATGTGTTTCAGTGTAAGTGATGTGTTGCATGTTTTACAAAATGGTGGTTCCAGGCCTCTCATTAGGTAGCCATGGGTAAAGGCTGCATGTCCAATTCTAAGCCGAGTTAAAATTGTTTCTTCTTTCCTGTTCTTTCAGAAAGAGGTCGTCCACGGTTTGGTATCTTTTTTGATTTCTTGCAATTTATTCGTAGATTGGTTCCACTTGAATTGCCATTTTTCATTTAGGATTTTTTTGCATTCCAATCTCCAGTCAGCAGTGGTCGTTAAATTGATCATTGTAGTTCCATTAGTTTTTCTTCTTGCCAGGTTGGCAGCTCTGTCTGCAGCTTCGTTCCCAGATATGCCACAATGTGAGGGTGCCCATGCGAGGACGATGTCTCTGTCCGAAGACTCCTTCATTTCCCAGAGGCAATTTTTGATTTTCCTGGAAATGGCATTGTCGGCTTTCCCTTCGGCAATGGCCGAAATTTTCTTATTTCACCCTTACACCTCTACTCCATGCTTCAATTCATTTTAATTTTCTTGACGACGTTTCAGGCAATTTCGCCCATTTTTAAGTCGAAATATTTATATCATTATACAATCCATCTAATAATATTTTAATATAATTATTGTAACATTTATCTCCTCACATTCTTTTAATTATAAAATTCATTACTTATCTATGAAAAATCAACTTCGTGTACCGACAAATATTAAACATTACTTCAAAGTTACATAAAATATTACACATTTTCGTTCTTTTAATACGTTAAGTTTTTATTTATTTTTTTATTTTTATAATTTTATGGTTGGACCTGACTTCCATAAACAAAACAACAGTGCATCGTACCCGTGACCTTCATCAGTAATTTGGAGTGCAGTTACATTGCATAGCTCTTGGTCTTTAAACTGTGAAAAAGTTGTTGTTTAAGTCTTTAAAAAACACAACAAAAAAATCATTGTTTTTTCAATATGTTGTATTAAGTTTCACATCTGGAGCAATGCGTTATTGTACTGGTGCTTGTAATATTTTATAATTTAATATCCTTTACATTTAAAAGATTAATTTTATTTTGGTACTATAAACAAATTTTTATAAACGAACAGTTTAATGTGAATTATAATTAAAATGACTAATCTTTTGATGATAATTCAGTCCTTTATCTGCCATCTAAATTCATGTAAATTTAAATCATAAGAGCTTATGTAGATTGTGATGTAAACAAAACTTTACCGATCAAACAATTGCCTTTTTTAGAAACTTCACTCAGCTGAGTGATCTGATCTAATTGCTCAACAAACATTAATACATACTTAATTTCCGATTACGACTTTCAAGTAAGATCCAAGATCCAATAGAACAAGCATCCTTTTAATTAAGTTCATATGATCCGTTTTGACAAGGTGCGATTTCCTTGGTACAAGAAGATGATCCCAGAGAGGGGCTTAAACCACCCCAAAAGTGGGGGCTCCGCGGGCCACAGGTAGAGGGGGCCCTTACATAAGCTGGCTAAGACACAGCCTGCACTCGTGCCATGGACTAGGACCCGCTACAGACATGTTGTTGGTTGTGCTTGCCTCTCTATCGGTCTTCAGGACTGCTGCTGGTGTCCTGGATGTCAACTCTACCCGTGAGTACCTATAACCATAACCATATCATACCTTCGACTCCTTTCTCCTTCGTCGACGGAGAGAATCGCTGTGACGAAACTGCTACAAACAGACGTACAAAAGGTACACTTGCAACACTGCCGTTATATCATGCTGAGAAATGATGTTTGTCCGTTTGGTATCTCTTTTTATTATTATTTCATTTTTGAATGGGACAGTGGCATTTTGTGGTCTAATCTTTATTATTTGAACACAATATGGGAATTTCGCAATACAAACAATATGTGCAATGGAGTTGATTGCGAAATTCTTTACGAAAGTACACATATAATACATGACGGAATGAGGTCTGTTTATATAGTGCTATGGCATCTCAAGTTATCTTCGTAAATTAGAGAAAATTGGCAATAAATGATAGTTGTAAAACGCAATCCCAGCGTTCAAGTCACTCAGTTAATTATCATAATCAATTGTCGAGGTCGTTCAAAGAAACAAAGCATTTGACTTAAAAAATAAATAGATATCTAAAGCTAATTAGAACTTTTAAAAACTAATACAAATATCAAAACATAATTACAACAATAATAATATAGTTTAAAAAACTAAGTAGACATAAAAGGATTTAGATAAATATTATATATTAATTAAAAATTAGGGTTTTTATCAATGTTTAAAATATATACTGGGGAAGAGATAAATTACCAATTATGATGCTGATTATTGCTATGTAGTACAAACTTTCAAAGATAATTTATAAAAATTAAATGAATTATACAGATATCTCAATATTTATTTTATTTTATTTGGCTCGTTACTAATTCTTGAATCCGAAATCAAAGAAAGTTGAAGTGAATGTATTTAGAATCAGCTCAATATTGAATAAATTAATAACTTTATAATGACAAAAATAAACATTTTTCTTTATTAATTCTGTTTCAATTCATTATAAATTCAGTCTGGCCATAAGTGCCACGAACCGAAGCATCAGCATTTCACTTGAAAAAAAAAAACAACACGACGTAAAAAAGTATATCTAATAGTTTCCATTATCTTGTATGAAATACATTACACAATAAACTCTGTCGCTTTAACCTCACTTACATGTAAACATTCCGATTTCTAACGATGATGTCATATAGTAATATTTACATGAAATCAGAGATGAAAGTGTATTACGGACTTAACTGCTTTTTTAAATACGTCCGCAAGAATTTTTAATTCAATACTATGATAATAAAATGTAAACCATTATAGTTTAAATAATAGTGCATTATATGAAAAGCATAAAATTTCTCAGACTCCACACACAAATAAAAAAAATATATCCGGAAATCAAAATACAAAATCTAGGTTAATTTATTCCATATTTAAATATTTATGAATATTAACATACTCTTTATATAAGGAAATAAAGAAAAAATATAAGCTATTTAATCAATAAACTCAATCCAATAGAAAACTGCAAAGTGACAGCAGTTAGTTTTTGCTATATACAGGATGTCTAAGTTCTTTATGTCCCAACTGTAGGGGTAATTTCAGAAAAAAAAATATAATAAAAAAAGTTCAATTGATGTATGATGATAATGTATGTGACTGAACAGAAGTTAAGACCAAGTTTTAGTTTTCCTAAGGTGTTCTGCGTTTTTTATTTAATAAGAAGGAATTGCTCAAAAAGTGTTCAAGATAATTAAACTCTGAATACATTATCGTAAACTAGACAAAATTTTCTTAGAAAACAGTGATTAAATTTACTAAGGTCAATAATAAAATAACTAATGGATGTCCGATAACGCTATGCCTCCCATTATGCTGAATTATTTCACGAATCGAGATAACAGAGGTATGCTGCTCGGATATAACTGCAGCAGTTATATCGACCGTATCAGCGACCTCCTGAAAGTCCCTTTTATCATTGACCTAGTAATTTTGATCACTGTTTTCTCAAAGAATATTTTATCTGTTTTACGATGGTGTACTTAGAATTTAATTATCTTGAATTGGCCTCCTTTTCCGTTCACAATCGGCCAATGGATCAAATGATCTATTTTGTTGGAAATTTTGCCTAGAAGCATCCTCCAGATTTTGGCTATTAAGAATTGAGAAACCCAGTAAAATATCTTTTTCAAGTGACTTATATACTAAGTTGTTATATTAATTTATTTTGGTCATATTAAATATAAAAAAACAAATATATATTGCTTATTAAAGAACAAGATGGTACTGTTATTAGTTGTACCTCGTCCGTTACCTTACGTTATTGTGTCTCAATGTTGTTATTACTGCAATCCCAAACGCCTTATTTATTACTTGAGTAGTTTCAGTTTAATTTATTTTATTTTTACATTGAAAGGGAAAATGGGTGGAACTTCGTACGTCCACGATTTTCATCTTAACAATGCCTTTTTTTCTGCCAAATGTTAATACATTGAACCATTATTTCTAAACACATTTTGCATCATGATTATTATGTGTTTTAAACATCAATCAATGCACAGTAAACATTTTTAATGAAATTAAAACTATTTACTTGTTTGATTTTTCACAAACACTTGGAGCAATTCACATAATCAATAAACATGCGCAATGGGTATAGCATAAAAAATGTATCTTGGAGAAAGTCGTTACTCTATAAAATAATACAAACACTGTAAGAATATTAATCAAACATTAACGCTGAATAATGTAGCAGTGAAAGTAATTATCGAACATCAAACAAGTATCATTATTGCTTCTTAATTATTAGTAAACCATTAGCAATAGTTAAATACATAGGATGGTTATATGCCATTTGAGAATAAAATGCAATTTCACATCTATTTAATTATAGTTAAGGGACTTTGTATGTTGAGGAAGGCCAGTGTTATAACGAGTTGATAGACCACGGGTATGTTTTTTAGTAATATCGGGATGAATGACTGTCCAGCAACATCTACTCCCCAAAGCAATGAATGACCATAAAAAGAACAAATCGTAAATATAATATACAAATATCAAAGATAATCTGCATGGATGATAATATTGATCCTTGACATCCAAAGCTCAAGACGTTCTATATTTTCAAATTTGGAAATATGAAAGGTTTGTCCGATTATCGGTAGAATGAGAAATTAAAGAAAACTCAAGGACCAAGCATTGCTACCATTGAAGCAACTTCTAGGATGATATCTAATGAGAGCTCTAATCATACAGGAATTCAATCCATTTCATTGATACACAGTCAAAAATTAGTTAAAACAATACTTAGTTTAACCATAATGAACAAAGATGTGGTGGGAAGATGGAAATGAGTTCGCGGACAGGGCAACCAAACAGGCAGTCACCCTCCTATGCCGGAGCACTGCCATATTAACACCCCATGGCACAGGTCTTCCATAAAAAAAAAAAAAAATAGCTCTTGGCTGGCAATCCATGTGGAATGAGAGCCCACCGAACAAATTGAAGAAAATAAAAAGTTCAGTGAAACCATGGTCCACCGCCAACCGCCCTGTTCGTAGAGAAGAAGTTACCTCAACGAGACTGAGGATAGGACACACAAACCTGGCACAATCCTGTTTGATAAGCAAACAGCCTGCACCAAATGCCAACATTGCTACGGTACTCTCCATTCTCCAAGAGTGTCCTTATTACGTATAAAATCTAACCGAATTGGGACTCGTACCAAAATTATCAGTAGTTTTGGGCGATGACGAAGTAAGAATATAATCGGTGATAAATTTTCTTAAAGATAATGATTTATTAAACAAAATTTAATTTTTTTATTCTTTTTCCCCATAATATTACTGAATTAATTTAAATGAAGACTATATAGGCGTTGATGAACTCGGGTTTTTACGCCTCTAAGCCCTAAACAACAAACGGTGGGAAGAATGAAGTTCTGGATGAAGTGGTGTTGTCTATATCTTCTTCGCTTTTGTGGGTTTTCATCTGAAAGTATTTTAACTGTAGTACCAATTTGATACATTAAATACCCAGATCTCACCAAAAATAAGAAACCCACAAACTCTTCTTGAAGGAAGTTAATCGACTGTTGTACATATCGTGGGTGACGAATAGTCAGAACGCAGTCAGTTTTAAGATCAGGACATGTTACCATTGAAGGTGTTCTAGTACTCTAATTTACTGTACGTGAACACTTTCAGTAGTAACATACCTTGTTGATGACCGACAAGCTTGGGTTGAAACATTGCTAACAGTAAAAATCTTAAAAACTGACTGCGTTCTGACTGTTCACCACCCCTAAAACTTCTGTATTTCTTCGGATGCTTGTCATATATTAATTCCTGCTAATTTGATGTGAAAAATAATTTTAAATTAAGGTAACAAAAATATAATTTTTTTTCATGATAAAGATCGTTTTCATTCAATTATAAAACAATAAAAAGAAAAATTATAAAACATCAATTGTTTTCATTTATTTTTAAATAGGATTCAAATTACTTTTCCGACTAGTTGGGGTTCAACTACTTCGACGATTAAAACATTACCATAATAATCTTTTACAATAAAACAATGGTTAATTAAATAATAACTCGTGTTGTTTAAATCATACATATTTATTATAGGTTGAAACTTTTATGGAACTATTTTTAAAAGTTCCATTTTAATAGTTTATGTGAAACGTTTTAGGAATAAGTTCTTTTTTTTTTTTAAATCTATTTATTGAATAATAATACAATCACCCACTGCTGGATGGCTATAAGTATTAGGGCTAAGAGTTCTCATTCATACAATATATACACATAATAGAGAAATAAATATAATTATAAAAAATAAATAAATAATACCGATGAATAAAGTAAATAAAAGAAAAAAAAAGTAAACAAATAACATAAAATAGAAACTTCTAAACACAATCATACCTATATACAATATATACATTCGCCCAGGAATCTCTGAGCCAGGCTTTTTCCCCCAAATGTGGAAGGCAAAGCAAGACTCCAGGAGATCCCAGTGCCACTTTTCCAGCCGCATCACTAGTATTAGAAGCCAGTGGAGAAGGAATAATTTCTGGAAATAAAAG